TTAGTGTTGCTCTTTGCTGGCTTGGAATGTGTTTCCTCTGAAGGGTTTGGAAACTGCAGGAATTGCTCAGCTCTTGCTAATTGAGACATCTTTTTATAATCACGGTCACAGCTGGTGGGAGGGAAGTGGGGGGAAGAGGGCTGGTGACTCAGGCCTTGGGAAGAAGCTGCCTGGTGTTGTGAAGGGGAGATTCCAGCTTGGAGGCTGGAGCAGGATTCACAAGGACACTGTCCTCCTCTGCTGTCAGGCAGGTGATGTTGTCAGGACATCAGCTTTCTCATTTCCCCGTAGAATTTGGTTGGAGGGGGAAAAAAATCTTCCTGGGTCACCTCAATCCCTCCCACAGGTGTGGAGGTCAACATGTGTGGTGAGTTAAAGCCTTGTGATGTGGGGAGACATTCTGGGGCAGAGGGAGCTGTGATATTTTTGTGTTCTCCTTTTCAAAGGCTTTGCTGCAAAAAAGAACCAGATCTGCTGGGACTTGCTTTTTGTGAGGGCTTCCCAGATGCTTTCCACGTTCAGGTGTCTCAAACAAAAGGTGGTCCGAGATGTGGCACCCTTCAAGCTTCACTTGATGAGCCAGTGATTGGGAACCCTTTTTGGGGTGGTGTTGAAAGGCAGTGGGGTCACTCTGCAGCCCCCCTGACTGTGGGGATATCAGTTTTGTGATGGGAAAAGGCCCTTGGTTGAAGGTGTTTTGCAAGCAGAGTGTGTGTGAAGAGAAAGGCAACCCCAGTTCTCGTGCTGGCAGGAGGAGGTGCAGTCGCTGCACGGCCAGGGGTGTTCCTGTGGTGTCTCCCAAGGTGGCAGGGATGCTGCTCTGGGGAAGGCTGGGGTGGGCAGGGGGAGGTGTGGGGGGAGCAGGCACTGGTGGGTCTCTCGGTGGGACTCGGGTGCTCTGGCAGATTCCAGAGCTGGAGGTGCTGGTGCTGCAGCTGCTTCTCCTGCCCCAGGAGCTGGCAGAGGAGGGTCCCAGGAGTGTCCGTGCTCTGCCTCTGCTGAGCCAGGAAATCAGTGCTGTCGGAGTCCAGAGCCTGCAGGGACAGGAGCCATGGGGAAAGCAACCCACATGGGGTCCACCCACAGCTCTGGGGGGTTGTCAGGACCCAGTCTGGAGGCACTGAGCTGGGGCTGGGCCCCTTGGAAAAGGATCACCCCCACCAGAGCCTCTGGAATGGCTGTACTGGAGCTGTGACCTGGGGGAGGTGGAATCACCCTTCCTGGGATGCCCTAAGACAGGCTGGGATAAGGGATGGTCACACTGTCACTGTTTGAGGACCAGCTGTAAATTAAAGTACATATTTTGGGGGTTCAGTGGTCTCTGAACCAGACTCATCTCATCCACACCTGCCTGGCTGGGGCTCAGTGTTACAGCTGCAGAGCAGAGGACTTGGGGCATGTTGTGACCTGGGGCTGGGTCCTGACTGTTTTTGGGATGCTTTTGCCTGCAGTGAAGCACAGCTGGAAGTGACATCTGGAAGCCCTGGGCTCCGACCTGGCTCTCCCAAGGGCTGGATTTTGGCGTGCATTCCTCTTGTGCCTGGTTATAAATATATTTGGCCCAGTAGCATCACTTCTTGGTGACTTTTAGTAGCAGCCGGCTCAGATCTAGACAGTTTTGGACTCAAGTTCCTCTGTCTGGGGGTTCTTCTGTACAAGAAGCGATCGGAGTGCCTTAAACTTTTGGAGATCAAACGTTTTGGGCCACACCCGCCGCCCTCCCTCCTGCTCCCTGAGCCCTGGACAACGGGGGGGATAATGCCAGGAGCACAATGCAGCCTGCTGGGGGGCTTTTTGGGTTGTTTGAACTTTGAACAGAAAAGCAAAGCAACAAAAGAGAGGGCAAGAAAAGCCCAGGGCTCTGCCAGTTACCGCGGCCGGCCAGAAAGTTAGAACTGCATTACAAAGGGTGGCCTTGTTCAGAAGGGCTCATTTCATCAGAAAGATGCATTTAAAACAAAAACCGAGGGGCAAATGCGAGCAGAAAGTCCCCCATGTTAGTATAAACACTGCATGAAAACACTTTTATTGCCTCCTATAACTCCCTAATAAATACTGTTCCTTTTTGATGAAAGCTCTTAACACAGGATTAGGGTTTACAGCGCGCTGCCTTATTAGTCCCTGGAGACAGAGCCCATGCTCAGTGTGGCTCTGTGCCCTGCTCTCAGCCCTCTCAGAGCTCCAGGGTTTCCCCCTTTCTTGCTTTTGGGTTTTTCCCCGCTCTCTGTGGCAGCATCTGAACTGCAGGCAGTGCTTTCCTGGAGGAGGAGCGGAGTGAGTGTGGTCAGGGAGGTCGTTCTCACCTCCGGTTCATCTGTAGGTGTGATTCTCCCACACAGAGCTGATGAGGTGTGAAGAGCTCGGCCCCGGGGTTGTGCTGCACCCCTGCCCTAAGAAGGTAACATTTTTAAAATTCGAGTGGCTCCCCTTTCAGCCAAGCCACAGATGTTTTTTGAGGGCTAAAACCTAAGCCTTTAAATAAATGTGTTTGATCCCTGGGTGGTTGTGCAGCTTTCCTGAAAAAAAACCCCAAAAACCACCTCCCTCAGAATGGGTTTTGTATCAGGAGAAAATGTTGGCTAGTCAGGATTTTTATAAAGCTTATTCCTCTGGGGTTTTATTCCTGCTTTTCGTCCCTGGGAGGGGATCATACCAGACATGATCTGCTGTCACCTCTCCTGTATGGCTGCAGGAAAACCTTCCATGAAGGAGCAGAGATGGCTCTGTGCTGGGTAAAGCTCAGCCTAAGGCAACCTTGGACCTCTCTGGCAACGTGGCTTGATCACCAGAGCCAAGAGGTTTTGTCATGGTGACACACAGGAGCTTCAGGCTGGCTTTGGGGTGATGCTCTGGATTTCTGGAGGGTGTCCTGTACGGGGCCAGGTGGAGGAAGGTGCTCTGGGACCTGTGTCACATCATTCCCACTCTGGATGGCTGTGCCCTCACTGCTGTCATTGGGCTTTGCTTCAGCTCCTGCTGCTGGTCCTGTAAATGGTGGTTCCAGGCCAGGGTGTGCCAGAGGTTTGGTGTGTGGTGTGAGGGCTCACCCTGGCAGGCAGGAGGTGCAGCAAAGGTGCCTTTAGGATCTGTAGGCTGAGTGATCAGGGTGTTCCTGCTGGGGGACGTTCCCCCCTGCCCATCCTTGTTCCCTGCAGATCAGCTCAGTGCTGGCACTGGCACATGTCCAGGCAGGGTGTCTCTGCAGGGACAGGAACCTGCTGCTGGCTGCCAGTGACACCAAGAGGCAGCTTGATTCACTCTGGACCTGGATGGCCAGGGATGTAGAGAACTTGGGAGTGAACTCTGGGAATTAAAGCTCACAGGAGCTTCTGTGCCCTTCCAGACTATGCAGAGCAGGTCCCCTCCCTGCTGAGGGTGTGGATGAGCTTTAGCAGGTTTCCTCATGGCCAGCACCGCTAGTGGACTTGGTTTTGTTGCATTTGTTTCCAGCATCTCCTCGGCAAGTGGAAGTGAAGAGGGAATGAGGGAGCCTGTGGATGAGGTCCTCACACACCTCTGGAGTGACAGTGTGACCAGCAGGGCTCACTTTGGGGGTAGGCACGATGTTGGCACCTGGGCTGTGGTTGCCCTGAGTGCCAGAAATGCTGCTGGGGAGGAGGAGCTGCTCACCTGGAGCAGGCTGGCAGGGCTCTCTGCACCCCTGTTTCCCACGGCCATGCCATCCTCTCTGCGTGGATGTGGTTTGTGTCTGCAGGGGACAGTTGTTCCTGCGTCCCTGGCAGGGTGGGTGGTGCCATCCTGCTCCACCTGGTCCATCAGTGGGTGTTGGAGCCAGTGTTCCTGGGATAATCCCTCCTCTGCACCTCATTCCTTCTGAGGCAATGGAAGGACCTGGAAGCAGAAGGAGGTGGCTCATGGAAGCGGCACCTGTGGGAGGGAGGAGAGGGACGAGGCACCCCCTGCTCGAGGGTCTGGGCAGTTCCTCAATAAACTGGCCAGTGAGCACCATCCAACCTCTCAGTGTGTCCCAGTGGAATATGTCAGACCTCCCCAGCTCAGGGGGGGAAGGGAGGCAGAGCTTCCCAGCCCAGCGGACTGGATGGGAAATAATGATCCCCTTTTTAAAGCTTCTTCAATTGTTCCTGAAAATCCTTTTTAAAAGGAGGAAAGTTCCTTCCTTCCTTTCAGCTCCCGGTATCTTTAAGAATTCGCTCTATTGTGAGCCCAGGACAGAGACCCTTCTATGAGGGCTGCCCAGGCGCTCCTCGGAGCCCCCCTCCCCACACCCCTCCCACCCCATCCCAACAAGCCCCCATTCTCCTCTGAAGAGGGTCCCTCTGTCTAACGCCAAGTAACTCTTAAGGGTAGCATTTATCCTCGGGCACTCAGCTCACAAAGAGTGCTGGAGTGTCAAATAAACTCACTCCAGCCTGCAAAGAGAAGAGGAAGAAAACACAAAACCCCCTTTATTTCCACCCCTGCGGGGAAACAAATACGGACTTTGTGCCGGGGAGCAGCGGCGCCCTGAGGAGGCAGGGCAGGGGCTGTGCTCGTGTGCATCCCCTGCACACGCCAGGGGCTGTGCAGGGACCTGCCATGGAGCAGGACATCAAAACCCTCCCCCAAAAAACGCTGGCCATCCATCCGTGTGCCCGCCGCTCCCAGGGCAGAGGGGTCCCTGCTCCCTCTGCCAGCGGGTGGGTGACTTCCCTGGGTTTGGCTTAGAGGGGAGGAAGATGCTGCTTCTGTCCTGGGCTCTTTGCTGGGGTTGTCCCCAAAGGTAAGGGACAGTGGGGGTCTGTGCTTGGACACGTCTTCAGCAGATCCTTTCAGCCCCGAGGGGCTCAGCGCCGCTGCAGGGGCTGATTCCATCGGGAGGCTGCTGCAGGAGGGAATTCAGCTTGGGAACTGTCACCTTTCTGAGCCCTGTGGCTGTTTGCTGTGTTGGTCGCTGCTGCTGTGTGGAGGAGACGTGGTGCCCTGCAAAGAAATCCCCAGGTCACTCCTGGTCCCTCATCCTGGCATTTGTTTCTCCACAGGTTTTGGCATCTGCTGCCTCAGGAACGACAAATTCCATCGGCCACAACTGCCGTGGGACTGTCGCTGTGCCAGAAGTGAGGAGACCAGAGCCTGACCATGTGCAGGATTGGGGCTTGTTCCCCCTCCACCAACAGTCCTGAGCTGAGAGGATTTGTCTGTGGATGGTTCCTCTGCCCTGGGATCTCTGACATCATAAACCCTCCTGGACTGCTGTGGGTTTTGGATGCTCCCTTCTGTTTGTAGCTGGGAATGGCACAGCCAGGAGGCTGCAGGCCCCTGCTCCTCTCCAGACCTGGTGGATTACTGCTCTTGGCATCGTTGTGGTGGAACTGGCTTGGACAGGTGAAGTCTCCCAATGGACAGATGTGGAAAAGCAGTTATACAGCCCCTCTTTTCCTGGGCTGCTGTGGGCATCGTGGCTCTGGAGGAGGAAGGAGAACATGCACAAGTGTAGGACAAATCCTGCTGCTTTTAGGTGAGTCAAAAATATTTTGCTTCTCCTTTTTTTCTTTAAGCACCTTTCTGTGGGATTTCTGTAAAAATTATATTTTTTCCTCACTTGAGAAAACGATGCCAAATGGAGTGACCTGCTGTAAGGGAATGTGGGAGCAGACAGGCTCGTTTCTGACAGCTGAGCTGCCTCCCCCTGCCTGTTTTCATCAGAGCAAGAACATTTTAGTACCGTCTGAGCCTGAAATCCCTAATAAGAGTTTTCTTCCTGGAGTTTTATTGCTCAGTAATGAACAAAGGGGTTAAAGGCTGCAGCCCCTCAGCAGTTTTTCCTTTCCCTGAGGGTATTGTGGGGCTCCTGGGGGTTGCAGGGATGAGCTGAAAGGTTCCCTTTGGAAAGGAGGGTGGTGTAAACCTCCATGTGCTGGAAACCCCACTCTCCTGCTAGAAAGTGATGCCAGGGCTCTGGATGCTGAGGGGACTCGTGGTGGTGTCGACAGCCTGGTGTGATGTTGGGAGAAGTGCCCGGGGGGCTGTTGGGAACAGCTGAGATGTGTGAGGGTGAAACATGGGGGGTTCTGCCTGGCTGGGGAATGGGGTGATGATCCCTGGGCCAGGGCAGGTGGAGTTTGCCCTCACCAGCCCTTTGTGCTGCCTCTTGGCCAGAGGTCAGTGCAGTGGGCACTTACCAGTTCCCCTGGGCCTGGCCTGCAGTGACACTTGGCTTCTGTTGTCCCTGTGTGTTCTGGGGAGGACATTCCCCTCCAGTCCCTGGTCCCTGTGAAGGCTCTAATGACCCTTTGCTCTGAACCGGGAGGGTCCAGCTGGGTTTTGGCACGTGGAGCAGAACTGACCCTTTAAATTGAGGAGGTGCTGTGGTTTGCCCTGCCCAGGCTGCTTTCTCAGTGATGCTTCCTTTGTGAGAATGAGACTCAGAAATGTGAATAAAGGGAAGATTTCTGCTGGGAAAGACTTGGCTTTGAAAAATATGTGTCTGATTTTGGTTAGGGCACATCTGTTCTTGTTTGCTGGTGGGCAGTCAGTCCAAGAGGGCTGATGCAGCCTGGCAGGGATGTGAGCTCTGTCCTGGTGGGGCTGTGGAATGTCCTGCAGGAGCTGAGCAGGGACTGTGCCAGGGTGGGCACTGAAAGAGACCTTTAAGGCTGCTGCTCTTCCATTTTATTGAACACAAATCCGGGAGGATCTGGTGTTTGCTCTTGCCAGAGATGGCTCTGCCAGCTGGGTGCTCTTGGGATGGACAGAGATGGAAAATCCAAACCTGAAGAGCTGAGGGGCTGAATGTTCTTCTGCACTGCAAACTCCCAGCTGTTTGAGCAGAGCTGGGATGTTCCAATTCCCTCCCCTTGACAGTGTCTGACTGGTGCTGTTACAGCTCAGGCCCTTCCCAAACCCTTGGGATTGTGGTTTTTCCTGGATGATGATATGAATGTACCAAGCACTTGACTTCATTCCTCCACAACACGAGTCTCTGGCTTCCTCTCCTGTCCCTGCCTGTGAAGTGCAGGCAGGAGGGATGAGATTGTGCACATCACCCTGCTGGTAGTGCCACATTTTCGAGGGCTGAGCAACTTGTGCTGGGGCAAAGCTGAGACTGATGTACATCAGCCCTGAGCTGATGTAAAGCAACCCAGACCTGCTGGACTCCTCTGCACCAGCTGCTGTGATTCAGGGCCAGGCTGGTACTTGGAGTTGGGTTTTGGTTTTTGCATCATTCCCTGTGGCTGTTGGGAGCTGGGTCCCTGCTGCTGCTGCTCATGGTACTGGAGGGTCAGGCAGTGCTGCTGCCCTTCTTCCTGGATCACAGAATCATGGAATGGTCTGGGTTGGAAGGGACCTCAAAGCCCATGGGCAGGGACACCTTCCAGTAGAACAGGTTGCTCCTGGGTTTGGACCCAGGGAAACCCACCGGCAAGCAGCCAAGAGGCTCAGCCCCTTGCCCCGTGGCACCTCAGGGAACCACGGGATCATTTCGGTGGGAAAAGCTCTCCCAGGTCGTTGAGTCCAACCATTCCTCCAGCTCCGGCTGAACCGTGAGGTGACCCCGCTGGGCACGGGGGTGCTGGATCCTGGCTGGGGCTGGGGAGCACTCTCCGGGCGGGGGTGGCGGATCCCAGGGGGATGGGGATTGGGATGGGGATGGGGATGGGGATGGGGATCGGGATCGGGATCGGGGTCGCTGCCGGGCGCGCGCTGACACCTGGCGGCAGCTCCGGGCAGGGCCGGCAGTGCCGGGCGGGGCCCGCAGGGGGCGCGCGGGGGCAGCGGCGGGATCGGGATCCCGTGGGATCCTATGGAATTGGATGGGATGGTCTGGCTGGGGAGGGACTTAAAGCTCATCCAGTGCCACCTCCTGCCATGGGCAGGGACACCTTCCACCAGCCCAGGTTGCTCTAAGCCCTGTCCAACCTGGCCTTGGACACTCCCAGGGATGGGGCAGCAACAGCTTCTGTGGGAATTCCATTCCAGCCCCTCTCCACCCTCCCAGGGAGGAATTCCTTCCCAGTATCCCATCTAACCCTGCCCTCTGTGAGTGGGAAGCCATCCTCCCTTATCCTGTCACTTCAGGCCCTTGTGTGAAGTCCCACTTCAGGTCCTTGTCCCCAGTCCCTCTCCAGCTCTCCTGGAGCCCCTTTAGCCCCTTCCAGGGGCTCCAAGGTCTTCCCGGAGCCTTTTCTTTTCCAGGCTGAACATCCCCATTTCCCTGCCTGTCTCCATAGCAGAGCTGCTCCAGCCCTCTGCTTCCTGAGCTGAAAAAGCTGGGGAGAAAGAGGTGGAAAAACCCACGGAGCAATCCCTGGAAGCAGCGGGCAAACAGGGCAGGGCTGCTCCAGCACCAGGCGGATGAGCTGGAATACAGGGGGAAAACAATGAACTGGGTGTTTGCCGTGTCAAAAATCGCGGGGGGACGATTGTCAGTGGCTTCTCGGCGAGCTGCCCCGAGCGCGGGTCCCGCGGCCGCTGGATGGCAGCGGAGCTCCGCGGCATTCCCACTGCTCGGCATTCCCGCTCCGCTCCATCCCCCGCTCCGCTTCGCCGGTGGCTCCACCACCCGCCCGGAGCGGCCGGGCTGGGGCACAGGGATCCGAACCCCCCGGGAATGGGTGCTGATTTCGGGTAAAGGGCAATTCCCAACCTCCTGGGATGCTCGTGGAGGTACAGACCCGACAGCAAGGAGCTGTTCAGGAGTTGGACTTGATGGTCCCTGTGGGTCCCTTCCAGCGGTGGATGCTCCGTGACTCTAGAGAACCAGAATCTACGAATCCTGACACCCTGAGGGCAGAGTGTCAGGGCAGTGAGGGATGAGGCTGGGGAGGGAGCGGATCTGGGGTGATAAACATGACAATTATGCATCTGCTTTGGGCATTTGGGAAAACTTAAGCTGTACCTGAAAAGCTCCTGATCCATGAGTATGACCTGGAAATGCGGGTGTTTGGGAATCGGGAAGTGTGTGCAGGGGGACACTGGGAGAGCAACAGGCTCTACCAGCAACTGGTTTGGGTGAGGGTCTCTTGGGGTGTGACCCAGAGGCATCTGCTGTCCCTGCTGTCTCCAGCACACTCCGGGCTGGTCACCTACACGACATTATTGCTGGAGCTGGGAGGTTGACACAGGAATGGCTCAATGTGCTGTCTTCTCCCAGAGAAAAGCTTGGAAAGCTCCTGCTCTGCCTCTCCCTGTCCAAGTCCCCCGGGACCAGAAGGGCTGGGAGCGTTGTCTGGCTCCGCTTGCACTGGCTCTGTCTGGGAGCGGGTGAATTATCGCTGGATAAACCCCCGTGTTTGGCTGCCTTGAAAAGCACTTCCAGAGCAGTCCCAGACTGCCTGCTCGGCACCGCTCACGTTGAAAGGTTTCACTGTCCAGGCTCCCTCCTCCATGGCTGGAGCCAACTGCAAATTCCAGCAGCGCTACCAGCCCAGGGGCCGGGTTGCCATGGTGAATGCATTTGGGTTCTGCACCTAAGAGCCTGGAGTTTTTGGGGAGTTTTTAGCCAGGAGTGTCACGGTTTGTCCGTCCTCTGGCTGCTCCCTTTGGGGGACGAGCTGCCTGCCTTGGGGACAGAGCCACCAGCTCTGTTCTCACACTGCTCAGGGCTCCAACAGCCCCTCTGGGTGCCGAGGCTTTCCTGGGACCTGCTTTTCCTCACACCAGGACCCATCCCTGCCATGCTGTGCCCCTGCCACGCTCCTTCTGCTTGCTGGTCCAAACCCCAGTGAACCTGGTTTGGTTTGCCAAGGTGCTACTTCGACCCTCCTGTGCTGAACCCAAATGAAGTGTTTTTAACAGGGGCTTTGCATTCGATGAGTTGTGAGTTGCACCTTCAGGTAGATGAAGTTTGTGTGCCTGGCTGGGATCTCGCCCCCCTCCCAGCCCCGTGTGCGTCACTGAGAGGCAAAAATCTTACTCAGAAACTCTATTTAGGTTTTCCATGTGTTGCCTCACCTGCCTTTATAAAGAAAAGGAGTCTTTGAGTTTATATCTTTGCCCTTCCTGAGGGTGCATCTGCCCAGCAAGGACATCTCCCGTGCCCCGGGAGCTGTGCTGCGCCCTTGGCCTCTGGAATGCTCTTTTCATTGATATTTTCTGGGAACAAAAATGCCTGCTTTGTATCCACTGCCCCTTTCTTTCCCCACGCAGAAGGGGAGGGAGAAAATGACTAAAATATTTTCTTGTAACAAAAGGCTGGGGGTGAATCTAGATCAGCCATTCTGATCCGTTTCAGGCCAAATCTCCAGGGTTTTCAGCGGAGAAATTAAAACACTGGAGCTTTCTCTTTTCTTCAGAAGAACAAACAGGAGCGGTTACCACTTCCTCCAGCTCATAAACAAAACCAGCCCGACGTCTCCAGGAGAAACCCTGCCAAGAGACTTTCCTTCCTAATTGTTTGATTTTTTTTCACTTCTGATTAGTATTCGGGAGTGCCTGGCACACAAGCGGGAAGTTTCAGGAACAGGCTGTAGATCTTGCTTCCAGCAAATCCTTCCCTCCTTTGCCATCTTTTGCCCT